TGGGCAATTTTACTAATATGTCACTGACATGAATTCAGTAATTTGTTTCCATTGTTGTCAAAATGATTAAAAAATTATTTTGGTTTTAATTCTGTTTAAACCACCCAACTATAAAAAGTAGCTCTATTGATTTTGCTAAAGCGTAATAACGTACTAAAAAATCAATTTTAGTACTATAGTCCATTCCATTTAAGATCTAATACAAAAGTACTAACAGTGGCAACACTGCCCCTAGTGCGTACAGGATATAACACGAAATTTTAAAAATCCGAGATATAACACGAAATTTTAAAATTCCGAGATATAACAAAGAATTTTAAAATTCCGAGATATAAAACGGAATTTTAAAATTCCGAGATATAACACGGAATTTTAAAATTCCGAGATATAACACGGAATTTTATAATTCCGAGATATAACACGGAATTTTAAAATTCCGAGATATAACACGGAATTTTAAAATTCCGACATATAACACGAAATTTTGCTGTAAAATTTCGACTTATAACTCGAAATTTTAAAATTCCGAGTTATAACTCAGAAATTTGTAAAAAACAAGATTTAAATTTTGGATGGCCCTTCTACGCCTTCGTAGTACTCACAGGCAAAATAATCGATCCACACAAATTTTCGATGAATTTCAATCGCGAATAACTTTTTTATTTGATTTCGGATTTAAACAAATATTAAAGAATATTGTACATACATTAATGGAGAATCGCTCACATTTTAAAAATTACTAAAAAATACACGTTCGTTTATAATATACAGGTTTAAACAAAAATATGTTTTTTACCATAAGTTTAAGACACTCTGTAGAGTGGCAAAACCGTATATTGTTCTAAATTAATTTTTAATTATCAAGTCACATCTATTTTTAAAAGTTTTGTTTTTGGTTCACCTTGATATATTTATTTTTGTGGAAAATATGGATTTTTTTAAAAAAACATTGCAATTTCCAATATTTTTCCAGTATGAAGAACTAAGGTTGCTATGGTCCATCCATAGCCTATGGAGGATGACAGTGACAGTTTTGTTGAATCATCCAATACTTAAACATGTCATATACAGCTTTCAAAAGCTATGAAATTGTTTTTTGTAAATTAATGTGTTAATTTTGAGGTGTCATCTTACTTTTAAAAATGTCTTCCACTGATGTTACCCTTTGTACTTTACTTCTTGTGACGTTTAAAACCCTTGCCACGTAATACTGTGACCGTCTATCCTGGATTAAATTAATGGCTCTGGCAACATCAGTCGGAGACATATCCATTTTTCAAAGTAAGAAGATTTCTCAAAATTTAATCATTAATCTGCAAAAAACAAAATGTGAGCGATTGTCCATTAATTTATCTACAATATTCTTTAATATTCGTTTAAATCCGACATCAAATAAAAAAGTTATTTGCGATTGAAATTCATCGAAAATTTCTGTGGATCGATTATTTTGCCTACGAGTGTATTTGCTATTCAATTAATTACAAACAAAAATTGAAAATCGCGTTTTATTATTTTGATTAATAAAGTTACAAGGTAACATGGTTGCAAGTACCTACTTATGTAGTGTTTTCAAAATGTTCTTCTAGAGTTTTTAATTTAAGAATTTTTACAGTTTTTTTATGTTAAACACGTTAGTACTAGATTATTTTACACTTTCCAACTTAAAAATCATTGCAATATAAATCATACTAAAATTAAATAATTAAAACAAATATACATGAAAATAAATACAATAAACATAAATACTTACGTAATACATACAGGAATAGAAGCTGATATAAAGTAGTTTTTAAGTAGTAGTATTAGAAGGATTGTTGCAAATTTAAAATATCTCTGAAAAATAACAAAAACAAAATATTTTTTTAACATGCATTTAATGAGGACTTACCATGTTTTCTTATAAAGTTTATTTTGTGAATAAATGATTTTTCAGTCCTGTTCTTATTATATAGTGACGTGATGGGTCTTCATTATTAATAGACACAATTCATCAAGATTGAATTGTGTGGAAAATGAGGTGTTTGTCAAAGAAAAGTGTGCAAAACATTGCGTGCCTGCATTGTGTAGGTTTTCTTTTTCATTAGTGAAAAATAAAGGGCGTTTTTATCGAAATATAAGTTTTTTAATTTGTACAATTACCAAAATTTAAAAAAAAATTATAATTGCATTTAGTTCAATTATTTGAATGGTCAGAAATATTCAAATGATTTGAATTATTCGAATGGTTCAAATTATTTGAAAATGATTTTTTTAATAATAATTGTTATACTCAATTTTTTGACGAAATTAATTTTGATAAAACTTATTTAATTAGTTCGACCGATTACTATGGGAAAATTAAAATTAGGAGCAGATTAAGCAAGTCAAAATAAGACGAAAATCTAAATAAATATTTTTCCTAATTAGGTATGTTTAAAAGATACAGGGTGATAAAGTGTTACTTATCATATCAGTTTTTTTAATATAACTTCCACTATGGTAGACTTGGAAAGGTGATATTTTGCGAACAGTCACTTAAGTGTAATGTAATTACTACCAAAACACATAATTACAATTGTTCGAGTGAACGCAGTGTCGTAGAAACAGGGGTTGCTTAAGCTTATTGTCCCATACAAACTTAGAGGTTAGGTTTTTATACCATTTGATGAAATTTTTCGATTACTCAGTTCGGCTACTATTAAAAAGGTGTACCTCTCAAAATTTGATAAAATAAACCGTTTCCGAGATATCCGAGATTACAATAATTGTTATATCGCATTAAAGGACTAAAAGGTATATTCATATCATGATAACAAATTTTTTAATTGAAAAAATACAATTTTTTTAATGTGACGGTCAGGGCAAAAAGTCTCGAGGCTCATGGAATGCCGTTTTTAGTTTTTTCAAATTTTTTATCATATACCTTTTAATCCTTTTAAATAATGCGATATAACAATTATTGTAATCTCGAATATCTCGGTTTATTTTATCGAAGTTTGAGAGGTACACCTTTTTAATGGTAGAAGAACTGTGTAATCGAAAAATTGTATCAAATGTTATAAAAACCTAACCTCAAAGTTTGTATGGGACAATAAGCTTAAAGCAACCCCCGTTTCTACGACTCTGTGTTCACTTAAACAATTGTAATTATGTGTGAATTATTCACAATTGTAATTATGTGTGAATTATTCACAGTGAATATGTGTTTTGGTAGTAAGTGACTGTTCGCAAAATATCACGTTTCCAAGACTACCATAGTAGAAGTTATATAAGTACATTTGATGCGGTTTTAGCAAATTTTTAAAAATATATATTTTATGCTATTTATGTACATGCCTACAGCATAACTAAGTAAACCAGATGTATAAGTTAGTATTTGTAGAATAAAATACATTTAAAAACTTAACGCAGATGCAAAACTGGGTATTTGTTTCTTCCTGTCGGATGCAAAACTCGGTATTTGCTGTTGACCAATCACGTCGCTAGTATACGCATTACGTGACGACATAACAATCACCTGATTAATTGTTATTTTTTGGTATTTGCACTTTTCACTTGCAAAACTTGGTCTTTGAACGAGGAAGATGCAAAACTATGTTTTTAAATTACTAAAATACCTAATTTTTTTTTACTTTTTTGAATAAAAATTATGCAAAAGGACGTCTATACAATTTTTGCATTTTTTTTTCAAAAATGATCTTATAAGCTGTTTTTCATGTTTTTCTTAAAATCACTTATCCTGCAAATACAGAGTTGTGCATCTAATGTACTCATTAAAAAAACTGATATTATAGGTAAAACTTTATCACCCTGTATCTTGGAAACATAAGTAATTAGGAAAAATATTTATTTAGGTTTTTGTCTTATTTTGACTTGCTCAATCTTTTCCTAAATTTATGCCAATAAGTTTAGGGACACCTTGTATATGTATAAGTGGGTATTTTTAAATAACATTTTATTTTATTTTGCATTTGTATTTATTTTTTTAAATTTTTCCCAAAACTCTTCTTTAAATAGGTATTTATTTATTTTTAAAGTACTGAAGGATCTTTTTGTAGTTTATATTTTTGTATTAATTTAGTGGCAAAAAATATTTAGGCTTAGTGCTTTATATCCATTTTAAAATTTTTAAAATTTTGTTTGTGGCAATGGGCATTAATATTATAAAACCTGTTTAACAAATTACAATAAATAATGCAACAATATTTCATTAAAAATTAAAAAAAATAATAATTAAAAGAAATTGATGTAATATTATGTGTAATAAATTAAAATTTAATTTGTCATTGTTTAAAAAAATATATAAACAACAAAAAGATTTTGCATTTCAAAAACTAAGCGACATAGGAAAACAAATGTACCCATTGTTTTTCTCAAAATTAGATTCTTATCCAAAACAATTCTGCGTGATTTTATGTTAAGTTAATTCATTTATTTTAATCCGAATTAAGAACTTTGTTGTCTAGACATTAAAATTTGAGTTTGTCTATTAAGGTGCTTGTAAAACTATAATTTTGTTTTATTAATTGAGCTTGCTTATTGTAAATTTTACCAATACAAAAATTGGCTTCTTATTTATAAATAAATAAAATAGTTATTGTATTGCAATATATACAATATAATATTGCTTTGGTATAAAATACAAATTTTCTTAATTAAAAAATCAAAGTAGGCTAGGTACAAAAGTGGGTTTCTAGTTCAACAATTTAAGAAATTATAATTTATTTATCATACGAAACAGGTTTATTCGTCTTGATTTTAAAATGCTTTACATAATATATTTACGTAATTTTATCTTTTACGCCTACCTTGTAAAATTTAATGATACCTAATTCTCAAGAAATAACAATTTTCTAACGTAGCTCTATGTATACATTGCTTATAATTTAAGTATTTTGAGTACTTTTATGTACTTAGTATTTTTTCTAAAGTATATTTTAGGAAATATTAAATAAAACACTCACAAATGCATTAAGTACTTTACTTAAATTAACAATAAATAATTAAAATAAACATCACAGGTAAACATTGGTGTTTCTAAAGTAGGCTCAATTTCAGAAACACTTTATATAATAATTAAAAAAATTAATCTAAATCTACGAACAAAAGTATACCAACAAAACAATTAATATAATTGAATTACAGAGTAAAAATGTTACAAGCAATGCTATAATCTTTCCTTTTTGTGTTTTGATTTTTGATAGGAAACATTTGGTTTTTCTTGGTTTTTAATTAGGTCTGTATATGGAGAGGTGTAACTTTTACTTTAAACCTTGAATTTTTTACTGTGTATATATGTGATTGACTAGAAAAACATTGTTAACATCCCTCTGGGTTGTGGAGAAGCGTAGGTTATTCGTATTTATTCAAAAACGGAGCGATCGAAGCGATATCCTCGCAGTCCGGAATAATTTTGCCCTTGAACTTAACGCAGGCGTCTGCACAAAGTTGTCCTTCAAAGTATGGTCCGAACATTTTCTTGCACTGCGCGCAGTTTCTGATGCAAACACCTTAAAAAATAAACATTCTTAGAGTTGTGCCATTTCCATTTTTAGACAAGAAATCAATTCCAACCTAAATAAACGTGTTATTGTTAAAAATGGCGAATGCTCCGGGGTTAATTTTGAAATTTTATTACAATAATCTTTATATAATTTTTAATATTTTTCATTACATAACATTCCTCTTTAATGGTGTGTTTACATGACATTGATACTTTAGTAAGTAATTGATTGTTTACTATAGGGGAGTGAAAAAACTAAATCTGTGCCTAGATTAAAAATTCTACATTTAATTATAAAAATGTCAAAAAATATGCGTTTTGGTCAAAAAAACCTACAGAATCGGCAGTTAATTCTAATTTAAAAAATTTTTTTTGAATTTTGTTTACATTCGTATAAAAATCAAAAATTTTATCGGTAAAATTTTACCATTATTGAAGCAAAAAACATAAACAAGACTAAAATTATTTATTGAAAAAACTATACATTATTTTGAAAATTACTTCTTAAAGAACACAAAACACATAGAATGCGCTGCGTCCTAATCTCGCAAATCTTGCGAGATCGCGCATGATTTTCGTGCAAGACTAATCTTGCAGAATTAGTGCGAGATCTTGGTATTTCGAGATCTTGGTATACCAAGATTGCATTGCCTAATGAGAACCCCTATAAAATCTTAATTAGAAGAGATATTAAATAAATTTTATACCCAGCTTGCATGGTTAACCCTTTCACCACTGAAAAGGATTTTTTTTTGAATATATGTATTAAGAATAGTCTTTATTGAAAATAAATAGATTTTTGTATGCAAAATTGCTCTATTTTAAAAATTTAAAATCCAGGTTGCATGGTAAAAAGAATTTTTTTACAAAAATCAAAAGCATCGGTAAATTTAACAAAATAGCATTGACAGTGTTTTTAAAAAGAATCGCCCTGTATATTTTTAAATATTTAAATACAGTTTTTTCTTCTGGTTTTACAAATATATAGTTTGTATATATTTGTGTTACCTAAGTGTTTTGTTAATAACTTAATAATAAATAATGCTAAATTTAACATGAGAATCATGGTTGCCATGGATAAAGAACTTTTACCCTAAAATAAGCATGGCGTTTTAAACAATTATTAGCGTTTTGTTAAAAAATAAAAATAAAAACATAGTTATTTTAGGAAGTGACTTCTTTATCGATGGCAATAAGAAAGGGTTTTGGTTCAATTTTTAATTTAATTCAAATATTTAAAAATTATGTATATATTTTTGATATTAGAATAAAAAATGTTCTCTAAATATTCTAAAATATACAGGGTGTTCTATTAAAAAAAACACATATTTTATCAATTTTACCGATGCTTTTTAGTTTTTGTCAAAAAAATTACACATTTAATGCAATCTGACTTTTTTAATTTTTTAATATCTTTTCAAATAAAGATTTTAGAGGGGTGTCCCATTTATACGGAAACACCTTTACATATATCTTGTAAATTGGTATAACCATTAGTTATTATGGTTATTATTATTAACATTTTTTTTTGGTCACAGGGTTAAAAATTATTTATAAAACTAAAAAATTTATAATTTTTATAATATTAATATTAAAAAATAATAATATAATAGGTAGGTATATAAAATATTTAAAATAATTTTAAGTTTTTTATCAATATTTTTTTTATCATACTATTAAAAAAGCAAACAATATGTGAAAAGTTATTATTAATTTAAAAAATATATCTGTATAGTATAAAAATCTATACATTTTTTGGTTCTATAATTTTATGTTAAAATTTGATCTTGGATCGAAAAAAAAAAATTCAGGAGACGATATTTTATAGTTATGTTTTTTTGTTTTTTTATAGTCCAAATGTGGACGCGTTTAGTCTGAAGAAACATTTATAAATTATTTAAAGCAATCAGTTTTTATGGAATTTGATTATTATATAATTATTATTATTAATTATTATTATTCTCGTTAGATAAAATACAAGAACATTTTATACACCTTATTTAAATATTATATTATTTTTGAAACTGTTGAGTTTTCGATATATATAATATATGAGTACATTAGATGCACAAATCTGTATTTGCAGGATAAGTCATTTTAAAAAAAACATGAAAAACCGCTCATAAGATTATTTTTGAAAAAAAGCAAAAATAGTATAGACGTGCTTTTGCATCATTTTTATTCAAAAAAGTAAAAAGAAATCCTTTAAAATTAGGTAGTTTAGTAAATAATTGAAATCAAAAGATTTGAAAACATAGTTCTGCATCTTCCTCGTTCAAAGACCAAATTTTGCAAGTGAAAAGTGTAAATACCAAAAAATAACTATTAATCAGGTGATTGTATAATCGTCACGTAACAGCAAATACCGAGTTTTGCATCCGACAGGAAGAAACAAATACCCAGTTTTGCATCTGCGTTAAGTTTTTAAATGTATTTTATTCTACAAATATTAACTTATGCATCTGATTTACCTACTTAGGTAGGTATGCTGTAGGCAGTGCATAATGTACAGGGTGGTCCACGTAAGGTGACCCATATACTTATCTCAGAAACTACTGGAGTCACAAAAAATTTGTAAGAAACAAATATTCACGAAGTAAAAAATATTTTTAAAATATTATATTTTCATTTATACAGGGTGTTCGGTTTTCCTTGGGACGATACCAACTTTCTTATTTTCAATGGAACACCCTGTATTTTTTTGCATTTTTGGATTCTTCCCACTCTTTTAGGTATACTTTGTAAATATATTAATTAAGAAAATGTTAATACTTTTTGAGTAAAATTAAGATTTATTAAAATTTCTCTAAATGTAGACACTCGCTAAAAGTTAAAAATAATCAACTAAAAGTTATTATTTTTTATATTATGTAGTATCCATCTCTTTATTAATAAGTAAGCTATAAGTTAATTATTACATTTTTTAGAAAATATCATACAGGGTGTTTTCTATGTCCCGTTGAAAATAGCGATTTTAAAAGTTTAAAATCTTGTTTTTCTTCAACGGAACACCCTATATATTTTTACATAATTGGATAGAATAAGTAATTACCTTTCATTTTATATATATATGTCCTATACCTAAACCTAACAGAAAAAAAAATATTCGCATTTTTCACAATTAGTAGCTTTTTTTCAATTACCTTAGTTAAATTTTCATTATTCAAAGAAAACACCCTGTATAATGTTTTCCAAAAAATAAATTAATTAACTTATAGCTTACTTATTATTAAAGAGATGAATGCTACATAATATAAAAAATAATAACTTTTAGTTGGTTATTTTTAACTTTTAGCGAATGTCTACATTTAGAGAAATTTTAATAAATCCTCATTTTACTCAAAAAGTATTAACATTTGCTAACGGTGCTGTTCTGAGAGGTGATTTTTGGACTTTCTGTGAAACCTAATTTTTTTTATATTCTTGTTAATTAGGTCATAACTAAAATTTTAAGAGCAAAATAAAAAAAATTTGACGGTTAATTTTGTTTTAATTGGATTTTTATTAAAAATATGTATGCACACTTTCAATTCTCCAATTAAAACTTGCGATTTTATTTAAATATTATCATAACTTTTTAAATCAGATTAAAGATAAGTTAATTTCCTAAAAAAAGGTCTATACATTTTTTATATCTTTTACTGTTTTGTTGTAATACACGTTTAAAGTTTTAATTTAAGGTTAAATATATAGTATAAATTTATTAAACAATAATTCTAAGGGTGTCACATTTTATTTAGGGCCGATTTATTCATTTTTGATTTATTTGACGAATAATTTCTTTGGATACTAGATATTGCCAAGACATCAAAGTTATCGGCCCGATAAACTTTACTAAGATGAATAAACCGGTCCTTAGTTAAATTTCATAAATTTCTTCGTAACTTTTACTACAATTTTTCATTTTTGTTTATAAAAAACACTTTAAAAAACTAAACAAAAATTATAGAATAAGTTTCATGGCAACCTTTAAGGATATATTAATTATGGGAACATAAATGTATACGTCAAAGGTTAGATTAAAAGTTTGAACGTTTATTGCAACAAAACAGTAAAATATATAAAAAAGAATTGTAAAAACCTTTTTTTTGTTATGCAAATATTAAATATTTAAATTAAATCACTAGTTTTAATTGGATAATTGAAAGAGTGCATAATATTTTTAATAAACAGCCAATTAAAACAACTCAAACCGTCAAATTTTTTTTTTGCTCTTAAAATTTTTGTTATGACCTAATTAACAAGAAATTAAAAAAAAATTAGGTATCACAGAAAGTCCAAAAATCACCTCTCAGAACAGCACCGTGATATATTTTTATACGAGAGATAATGCGCATAATCTCGAGAGTACTAGATAAATAAAATCTGACATCTGTCAAATGGTTAAAAACTAACTATTTGCCAATTTTAAATAATATTGTAGTCGCCTTCTCCCAATTTAAAACCCAATTGGTTTAAATCAGAGTAAATATTGAAATCGGCAAAAAACTGATGCCTAAATACGTGAAGAATGAACTTTTTAATTCCTTATTTATAAACAATAATTAGCATTTTAATATTATTATTTTTTTCAAAAATTTATAAACTCATACATATATCTCGTTAATAATATAAAAACACTTAAAATTTAAAAAAAAACACATAAATATCTGCTTAAATCTAAACCCATCACCACATATTAAAAAAATTATGTAGACTTACGAAATCTGGTTTTCTTTTGATCTAAAAATAATAAATAAACTTAAATAAATAATAATAGCTACCTAATCCTCAAAATATTATTTTACTCGTTAACAACTTGTTATTTTATAATAATATATATATTTAACTTACCGATTGGATTGGCATCGATGAGCAGGAAGGAGGTGACAAGAAGTAAAAGTGCAGCTCCTATTAAGTTTCTTGATACGCAAATCATACCTAAATTATAAAAGAATCAACGATAATAATTAATTGCACATAAATATTATATGATTGCTTGCACGTGTACAAATTAACAGTAGCGAGTATCGCGGTGCCGAATTAGTTTTATAGGAGTGTTAAAAAAGACGTATTTTAGTTCCAATTAAAATTTCACAAGCTTGTTTACCTGTAAACACGTGTAAACAAACTGCGGTATCTACGAATAAGGAACTTTTTAAATGAATTTGTTTAAACAAAGAATGGTCGTACGACCAATCGTGTGTATAGGCACTTGTATCGTACAATTTTATCATAAAAAGTGTCGTTTTATCCTTGTTTTACTTGGACTGTTAAAGAAGCCAAGAAATCATATTTTCTTTATGATTTAAGTGGTATTTATATTTTTTACCGTATTAGACAGACAAGTTGTCTTCACAAGGACGGGTAACCCGGATATCAATATGTCAATTATCAGAGTATTTCCTCGATTCTATTATTAATCTTAATTAATTAGGTATTTAAATTAACTACTTTCCTCACTGTTTTTTTTCTTCTAATAAATATGTCAGCTTTAAAAATACCCACATAAGGATATACTTTTAAAAATCTAAACATTATTTATTTAATCTATTTTTTTTATTAAATGGATAGGATAATAGTATATTATGTATCAAGTTTGATAAACGCCATTTTAGTCACGAATTTTAATTAGGCACGAGCGGGTGGATAGAAAAGTTTATAAACGAGGTGCATACTATACTTTTTCTACGATAAATACTTATTATCTTAAAATGATTTAAATCAAAAATTTGTATAGAGCGCCATCTATGAAACAATAGAGGAATCTGTGTTTCACCGTCAAATGTCACATTTTTAAATTTTATAAACACAGTTTATAAAGGTTATAAATCGAAATGTATTTCTTGAAAATTGACAGTTTTTCATAGTGAAAGTAAAGAAAATGTTTTATGAGCACTTTACAGTGGAGTCCGGGCCCGAATTTAACTTATAGTTTACTGCCGGCGAAATTAAAAGGTCAGTACAATGTTCATATAAACTTTTCAAATATTGCACAGAAAAAAATCTAACATGGTACCAAGAACAGGGCTGTCATTGAATGCATTAAAATTGAAGCAATCTAAATTGTTATTTGCTCAATTAATTACTATTAAACCAAAATAGGGAAATATTTTGCCTAAATGTCAAAGAATTTATTGCGTTAAATGCAATACAAAAATACAATAGTAACGTTATTAAATAAATCAAATTAGTATTTAATGCAAAAACATTCTAACAAATAAATATCAATATGAATATCAATAGATTTAGGAGTGATAACTTTTGTTATTAATTTAAAAACAGTAAACGATTGTAAACCAAGTGCTAAGTACCTATTGGTATTATAGAAACTGTCATTCAGGAATACGGATTACAAGATCCCATTGGTTTAATGGCTCACCCATTCATGCTATGCTAGTGTTTTTTCTGTGTGGCGTTGAGAAACTATTTAATACTTTTGTATTGAGATAATAATAGTATATTATGTATAAAGTTTGATAAACGCCATTTTATACACGAATTTAATTTAGCCACGAGCGAGCTTGCGAGCGAGTGCTTAAATTAATGAGTGTATAGAAAAGTTTATAAACGAGGTGCATACTATACTTTTTCTACGACAAATACTTATTATTATCTTAAAATGATTTAAATAAAAAAATTGTATAGAGCGCCATCTATGAAACAATAGAGGAATCTGTGTGTCACCCGTCAAATGTCACATTTTTAAATTTTATAAACACAGATTATAAAGTATTTATAATGTATTTTTTGAAAATTGTCAGTTTTTCACAGTGAAAGTAAAGAACATGTTTTATGAGGACTTTACAGTGGAGTCCGTGCCCGAATTTAAGTTATAGTTTACTGCCGCCGAAATTAGAAGGTCAGTACAATGTTCATATAAACTTTTCAAATATTGGCGTTGAGAAACTTTTTAATACTTTTGTATTTTTGTATTGAGATAATAATATAATTTTCACATTTAGTATTATTTTACTAGAAAGGTAATTTATTTTAACGATTGTATGACATTTGACAATTGTCAACTAACTTAAAACTTACTTCAGCCTTTGACTAAAAACCTGTTGCTAACTTCAGCCCGTGTCTAAAGCCACAACTTGTCAATGTGTATTTAAAAGGTCACTTAGTATCATGGAAACATGTACGATTTTAAAGGTGGGAGTAGAAAAATATGTTTAAAACTAATTCCTACTGCGTGAATATATACCTAAATATATTTCTCAAGTAGTTTTAATTTTTAAAATAAACATTTTGCATTTAATCATGAAACACTAAAACCACTTGGTCTTTCAAGTTTTTAAGTTCAGTTGCTACATTTATTTAGAAATTCGAAAAAGAAACATTTTTGACGAATTTCTGAAAAAATAGGTTTGATTGAAAAAGATGATACTTTTACATAGGGAAATTATTTTGACTAATATTTGCCAAAAATTGAGATGCTATAATCTTATTATAACTATTACGTGTGTTTAGAATCTAAACTTTACATACGAGTAATCGGCGAACAGTGGAAATTCTTGTGGAAAAATTTGAGTCGACATATTTGTCAATGAGACCAAGAAATTACAAGTGACTGAACAGTCACTGTGTAACAGTGTACACGATTTTGCGTCGATTTAAAATTAAACCGGTTTATGGCGAATTTTGATATAAAGTGGATGATATGTAGTTTCAACAATATATACGGTTCATATCCGTTCATTTAATTAATAATATTGATGTCGATGTTCGAAGAAAGTGTTCTTATTAGTGTAACACTTAAAAAATTTGTTAAATTTTTAAATTTGGCCTTATATAGGCTAATTTCAAAAAGAAATGAGTGATTTTCCACAAGATTTGGTAACAAAAAGTTTATATGGATGTTAGGGCTCCAGTATATTAGATTTTAAGAGACAGGGTGTTGAAAATGAAAAGAAAATTAAAATTTTATATCATTACCAATTGAAGGTGCAAGTGGATGAGGGGTTAAGTAACATCTTTAAAATAAAGGACAAAGATATTGTAATTGCAATTACAATTACATGTAATACCTACCAAATTTATTTTTATATTTGTTTGTTTGGAGGTGTTTAAATAAGAAAAGAACGACAATATTGTAATTGTAAATATAAATAAATTTTGTATTGTAATTACAATATTTTGTGTCCTATTATTAAAAATGTTACTTAAACTAACATTAACCTAATAAAAATGACGTTGGAGAAATAAATGTATCACTTCTCTAATTTAATTGTCAAAATTTTCTAAGCCAACTACTGTGCTTCTCTTATAAGAAGCAAATATTGTGCCTTTACTGATTAGGTATTTTATTATGTAATCGATAACTGCACAATAGCAATTATGAATGAGCATTTCGGAAAACAATTCATAAAACTCATTGGCGTGACAGAAAATTGATTTTATAAAATAACAACACCCTGTATATTAAGTGTAAAGTTAATCCCAGATAATTTTAGAGCATGTTAAAAACCTAGTTATGCCAAATTTGTGTTTAATACCATTGTTTTTAAAAACAATGTTTTCTGAGATATGCATATCTCACCATGGTGATGATATCTCGAATTCTAAGATTTTGACTTTCCGTCACCAAATCTTGTGGAAAATCACCCATTTATTTTGTTTACCTCAATTTGGAATCATCCTGTATATCAGAAATCCATTTAAGTTTAAATTTTGTTAATTTAGTTAATTCTTAAAATAAAACATTGTGCAAGTAATACATAATTTGTTACAAAAGTATATTTTAAATTACCTAATATTTTGGAAGTTTTCAGAATATTTTACAAATTTGTTAATTTTTCATGAATTATGTTTTTTAACATTTAAATTACAAAACTGGGATTTACAACATTGCGTGAAATGTTTAATATTAATTACGTATACCGGGTTAGAGATATAATTTTCAGTCATACATATTTTTAAAAACTACCAACATACTATTTTTAGAATTTACTTTTAAGGTACCTAATTCAACTTTTAGTTAAAAAGGATTTTAGGTTTATTTTACCCAGGTTTAACTATTTAGTTAACTTAAAGAATGACTATATTGTTAGAATAAAGTATGGAAATAAACCTGTGTAGATTTATTTTAACTACATATATTGTACTAAATATACATGGTGTTTTATGATTTAAAAAAATAAATTTTATAAATTAAAGCTTTTGTAGTTCTAACAAAAAACAATGACACATAAAAATTTGACATTTGACAGTAACACATATTCCCAAGTTGGTTACCTACTTTATTGTTTTATATTTGTTGTAGAAAAAGTATAGTATGCAATTCGTTTATAAACTTTTCTGGACACTCATTTTATTAAATTCTTGCTCGCAAGCTCGCTTGTGCCCAATTAAAATTTGCGACTAAAATGGCGTTTATCGAAATTGATACATAATAATAATAATTATATAATAGTATTATGCATATGATCATATACTAAAAACATCAAACAATATAATATTTTATTAATTGTTTGTGAAATATTTTTTTAATTCAAATTAAAATACAAATTAATGGCGTTTATTTTTGTTAAAATGGACAGCAATATGGCGGATTACTAATTTACCAAAAAACTTATATTAAAGGTTTATTAATTTTGTTAACTTAAATTAAACCAAAATATATCTAAAAATATTACTACTCTTAACCATTTGCGTAGGTTAAAATTAGAAGTAAATATAACTTCTAAAATAACCTACTTATTAACTGAATTTTAAGAATGAAAATTAACAATTTAACCTTGTATGTTAGTTATGTCACCAATGAGCTTATTAATAAATCTAGAAAAAATAAATATTCAGATTATTTCGTTTTATATTAACACAAAATATTTTTTCTGTATATCAATTTTTGATAATAGCAGAAAAAATCTATTTACAAAGAAAAAAAAATTACTAATTTACCAAAAAACTTATATTAAAGGTTTATTAATTTTGTTAACTTAAATTAAACCAAAATATATCTAAAAATATTACTACTCTTAACCATTTGCGTAGGTTAAAATTAGAAGTAAATATAACTTCTAAAATAACCTACTTATTAACTGAATTTTAAGAATGAAAATTAACAATTTAACCTTGTATGTTAGTTATGTCA